TTAGCCTACATTTTCATGTTTCATCTTTCAGTAATCAAATTTATTTACATATATGCATGTACTACGAAAATAGAAGTTTTAAGTGTGAAATTATTGATTAAGTTAATATTCTGATTTTATTTCACTAGTTTCGCGATGTAAGTTACGCTTATATTGAGTATAATAAATAATGAAGAAAATAGCCATACAGCTATATCTACAATTTGTAAAACCGCACTCTCCCGCCCTACACTACCCGACGTGTGTTCTAGATGAAAATAAGTTTAAATTGTTTGAAATTATCAAAAACGATCATTATCGACACGCGTTGCTGACTATCGACTAATTTTGATGCCTCTATCGTTACGTAGAGCGGGGTCGGTCGGTCCTAAATGTTTTTAGTTTACTAAAGCATTTGTGATTGTAATTGAAGTGTCTCTATTAAGTTTAGTACAAATATTAGTAGCTTTGTAAATACGATTCTACGAAACAAAATGATGCCAAAGTTACTTTAGCGCTGTAGTATTCATGAATTTAAAAATAAAATTGTTACAAATTTGATCAAATCAAACTTTCACTAGCTTTAAGAAATAAAGGACGATGGTTTAATATAGACCATGAACAAGTTATGGTGGTAAATATTGAAGCTAACATTGACGATACATCCAACCGGACGCCGTCCAGATGGAGGATGAAACGTACCTTGAAGTTCATGAATTTCACATGTCACTAACTTCAAGGCTTACTAATCGAAGTAAAGAATGTACAAATATAATATGTTGTTATGTGTATAACAGAGTGTGCTCGGAATTTAGTATGCATCGTCAATGTTTGGTTTTAGAAGATTTACGATAAAGTTTGTTAGAATATTTCCGTTATTGAATAATAATGAGAGCATGATTCTCGTTTCTTATCCTTATATACGTATCTAATCTGTGATTTAGAATACAATATTCATCTTCATTATTGTTGAAATATAGACTTTAAATTTGGATAAACAAAATATTAAATCCAGTAATAATATAACCCCATTCGATTGAATGAATGAATGATCGATTTTGTTTCACGAATTAAATTAATGTTTATTTTTAATTCTACTTTTTTCAGGTTTTATTACAATTTTAATGTTTTATTTATATATTTATTAAGTAAAGATATAGTTTCTTAAACAGAACCATCGTCCTTTACTATCTATTTACTATATAAGTGCGCTGTTATTGCTATAAATTTTATTTACCTACTGTTATCGAGTTAATAGTAACTTCACTCACTTCATCGAGACTTAATCTATTGCATTATGAGATCAATAAATAGATTACAATAAGAATACATGACTTTTTTTTTAACCCAAATCTTTCTTTTTATAATATATTTATAATTAGGATTGCAAACAATAATGTTGGGACTTGATAAAGGACGACTTCTCTGAAGACGATGTCCGGGACAGGAAAAAATGGCGGACAAAAACAGGGACAGCTAACTCCACCATCATGTGAGATATACAGCTAGGAAGAGAGAGAGAGAGAGAATTGGAATGACAAACAAGCTAACAGTACAACTGATAGTACGTTGTAACAGCATCGCATATATCACGTTATCATGCCATCATGAAAATATCCTGCCGCTGCCGGTTATAGCCTTTTCTCACACATTGCCTATATATAACTACCGAGGATAACAAAATACGCTCTGAACAATCTAATTATATAAATTAACTTAAGAATCATTTAGAATTTTTAATGAACTCTCGCTTTCGTTAATTATACAAAATATTCCGAACTTTTAATGATTAAGCTAATTTCAAATTCGTTATTAGTTTAACACAGTATAATTGCCTTCATTTTTAACTAACTTTAGAGATGGATGGATCTCAACTCGACTGTATTTTAATGTGTATGTTTGTATTGTAAGAACGGCTCGTCTATGTAATTTTATCTCAAAACAATCAGAGAAATTTACGGATAAGAGCTGTCTATAGAATCCATACAAATATTTATGTCTGTATGTTTGTTACCTTTTTACGAATAAACGACTGAACGTATCCTAATGAATTTTGACATGAATATACATAGATTGTACCGCGAGAACTGTCAAGGATATCTTTTATTTTAACAAAAGATAGTAAAAAAAAATATTTTTATCTAAGTACACACATATAGGTTTCATTACAAGTTCCTAGTAGGTATATTGCATTACACAAAATTTATACCAATGCAATACAATACCTCTTTGTCTTGAATATTATTGTGTTTTTTTATCATTTTATACATAGGTAAATGCGTGCGTAATTGTATTTTCTGTGAGAGAAACAATAAAGAGTTTCATTCATTCATTCATTCATACAATATGGAAACCTGAATGTGTGTGCTATACCAATAAAAATGACTCATAGCTTAGTAGCTCAAAAGCGGATAAAGTGTGTTAGCCGTCGATTATAAGGTTGTGGATACCTAAATAGGTACGAGACACGTTTGCACTTCGACTCGCGCTACTGAACGAGAAACTATTCTCGGCGTCTATTACGACACTGAAGACTTGTTAGAAAGGTGATGGATTAAACTGAAGTGACAGCAGGGTTGTCACTCTTAAGATACATGGCTCCCGAAAGAAAAAATCTCGTACATTCGTTCAATTTGGTTCTTTAACCTTGTACATAATAATATTTTGACCGGGGGGGGGGGGGGGGGGGGGGGGGGGGGGGTAAGTGGATTGTTATAATGTGGACTGGTAGATATATGTGATTATTATAATGTGGACAAATAACCCCATTCCCATAGCTAGCAATGTGCCATGTCAGGTTGAGCTCCACGAGCTTCTTGGAAAACATCGTGATGAATACCCACTTGCCAAGAGTGTCAACTTAACTGAATTCATGCTAATTTTATCATTCTCACCTGGTGCCCCACCAGTACAAACCGTTAGCGCAGACAGATGCACCATTCTATTACTAATATTATAAATGCGAAAGTTTATTAATATGGAAGGATGTTTGTTACTCTTGCGCAAAACCTAAGGAATTGATTTTGATGAAATTTTTCAGTATCATATCTTATACATCAGAAAAACACGTAGATATAATTTAAAAAGAAATGTAAATTACAGGATATATATAATAATAAGTGTGATGCAGACGACGAGAGGCACGTGTCAGCTATCATTCTCAAAATAAAGAAGTGTTTTGACCGAGTTTCAAAGTAAAAATCTCGTAGAAACTTTTATTGGGGTGAAAATATCCTTGTAGAAAGGCCAAAGATCTCGTATTTGTATGAGGATTCCGTACGGTTGACAACCCTGAGTGGCAGCCCCCTTCACCCAGGGCCAATGACAGCACCCCGCCGAGGCCCGCGTCCATGGCACATGGATAAGAATAACCGACTTTGACCCTCCGAAGGAGATGTGATACTAGTATGAAAAGCCTGTCACTAAGATGCGGGAGTACGGTAAGAAAAATAGAATTTTAAGAAAATGACTACAGTTCATATCTTGATATATGAACAATATTAAAACGAGTATATATTATTTATTATTATTATAAAAAGGAATGTTTCTTTTTATACTCGTTTTCATATTGAGTAAATATTAGCTTGAATACAAAATTCGGAACGTGTTTTTATTTTATCTGAAATTCTTATTACCTATATAGTATGTATATATACATATGAAATTTACAGTAAGATATGTCGAAAATACATATTTAAAAGGGCACCAACCAAAAACTACTGCGTAGAATTAATTGGAATTTTTCACACAAAAGCCTTGCTACATGAGCTCGCAAACCAGATAAAAATTGTACTGCTTAAGTGTGAAGTTGGGTGCAAAAATACAATTAAATCCTCTGTTATAAAAAAACAAAATTACTTTCCGAACAACCCAATAATATAATAAGAATGTCCTACATTGAAATTATATTATTTTATAGAATTAGCTTTTGTTCAAAATGAAAATGTTTTTTTATAATTAAACAAAATAATTATGCGATTGTTTTTCTTACATTTGAGTTCTACATTATACAGCAGATCTATATATCCTAATATTCTCGAATCGAAAAAACCACACAATACACACATACATCACAAGTAAATATATATATATATATATCAGTATCTCCAGCGTATACAGCAGAAGCAGATAGACAATTTAAACATCGTTAATTAAAAAAAATGAACTGATAATTACTATATTTTTAATTGAACAATGATTTTTATTATTCTGCTGACCGTACGTACCTGTGCTTATTCTAGCGAGGCGTGTACTCTGCTAGCTAAATATGGCGGGCGGCAGCTCCCCAAAGTTCAAGGCCGCATTCCAATATTAGGTGCGGAACCATCTCACGTCTACATTTAGCAGACAAGAATATCTAACAATTCAAATTTAGGCGAATTTTATTTTTGTAGTTTATTGTTTTTAGATTTATCTATTTATAATAGTGGATAAGTATTATTTTAGTTAACGGCTATACAACAGTATGTTAAACAATGTTCTCGTAGAGCCAGAAACCGTCTTTATAACAAGAAACAGTTCTTATCAGTCAAGTCTTTCTCTTTGTGTCTTGTGTTTTGTGTGCTCACTTATTCATTCTTGTTCTTTAAATTTAATTAACTTTCCTATTATTATACCTTCCAATTATGTTTTGTCTACATTCATAAAATAAACTCGACCCAAATATAATCAATTTGTAAATATATATTCACTGCCTATATCTAGAAGTTACTGTATCGGCTCTATTGTTAAGTGAACTGTGTCATAAATTGTAGCAGTCCATTGTCGCCAGTAGAACTAGGCGACAATTGCAGTCTGATTGTAGATATATCTACATTTTTCTGTTGTGTGCCATTTGCGCATTGAAGCACTTCAGACCCTATTTGAAAGAGTTACAGCAGTGTGTGGACAAAAGATTTAACATAAATATGATAATTTATTGAAGAATATCACTACTTAATGATTATATAAATTGAAACAAATATTTTATTTTTATTTATTAAATATAAGCTTAACTTAAAAATAAAATACGAGTAGGTGTTCCAATCTTCGTGTTTATTGGTCCCAAGTTGTTAAAATATACATTAGACATAATTTCCATACACATTCCATTCAGGTAATACATTACACATTCATATACTCAATATGAAGTTTATAAACAATATGAAAATACATGATTGATATCTGTTTTATAGTATAAAATTAATATTTGACTAAATCTCTTCACTTGCTATAATTTTGTCGAGATCTCTCATCCACAGTGTTTCTCTACATTTGAAGTGTCACGATCGCTGTAAATTACAATATTAAACATATTTTTATAATATCCTAGCTAACCGCTCCGACTTCGCACGGGTGTACACGTACTATACATATAAAACATCCTCTTGATTCACTATCTATTGCTAAAACTGCATTAAAATCCGTCGCACAGTAAAAGTTTAAAAGATTTTTTATATAACGAAGCGATTTCATCTGTTGCAAAATTTCAACCACTATATCATTCATTCCTTTCTGATTATTTTTTAGATAATCTTCACGACAAATTGCATTAAGTTTCGATTCATTTTTTGTCTTTAGTTTTATTCAGTCTTTAAATAAACTGAATGAAACGAATATTTATCCTTATATGTGAATGTGCCTATTATGTGGTGTTTAAATCTTTATTGTTTCACACATTTTGTCCTTTCTGACATGGAACAGGCAAAAGAAATGTCAACTTTATTATTCTTATAATTAAACAGCCATTATTTGTACGTCAATATTGGGAATCTAGAATATTCACAATATGAGCAATATTGTTAAATAAAAATAAACATTCAGACATTTTTAAATTGATATATTAAGTAGAGATTGTTGTAACAACTTACAAACTTACACATTGCTATAAATATCTGTCGACAACTGTACCATATGCAGGTGTTTTATAATATAAATATAGAATTTTACAATATTTTTCATGTAATTGGAATGTAAACGAATTGATGGTAACCATCACCTATACATGTGAAGCCCGTGATACCACTCATGTATTACCATTCCGGATGACAACGATATCATGCATTTAATCCTGTAACATTGCTTTATCTCATCCTTAATAGAAACACATCTTACAAACCAAATTGCTTGCATGGTAGTCTTCTATGATACTAGCTGTGCCTGTGATTTTGTCCGCGTGTTATGACCTTGTCCAAATAAAGAAAAAATATTCGATAATCTAACCCAATAATCCAAGAAAAAACATTCATCGTTCTAGCTTCAAAAATAACGACTTCCATAGATATGGTACAACACTTTTTTCGCATTAAAAAGCATCCTATGCATTATGCTGAGCAAGGTCCTATTCAGTAGATGTTTCGACAAACATACACATGCACGAACACGTAATTTGTGTACTGTTTTTTTTTTGTAATTATCGCAGTTTGTTATTTTTGTTTGTTTATTTGTTTAATATGTATTTTAGTTTTTTCTTGTACTGAATAAATATAATTTCATTTTATTTCTATGTAGTTCTATGCCAAATTTCATTTGGTACATAGAGTCTAGACCCTGAGAACATAGTAGTACATTTAATGTATGTTAGTCTGTAAGGTATTTATAATATGGGCCATGTAGCCTGAATTAAATAAATAAAATAAAATGGGTTCAGTACTTTTGGCGTGAAAGCACAACAGACAGATAGATAGACACTTACTTTCACATTTATAATTTACTAGCTGTTCCCACGAGTTCGTCCGCGCGGAATTTAACTTTATTTTCTAAAATAAAAGTAGCCTAAGTTACTCCTTATTACATCAGCTACCTGCCAAAAAAAGTTCCGTGAAAATCGGTCCAGCCATTTCAGAGATTAGTCTGAACAAACAGACAGACAGGCAGACAAAAATTGTGAAAAATGTTATATTGCTGTATGTACCGTATTTATATTCATATGCATGTAGTAAAAAACGGTTATTTCAACATTACAAACAGACATTCATTAAAAGGGTTATTTCATTATTACAAACAGAAACATTACCTGTATCAACTGTTAGCTGTTGGTGGTGGATGCACTCTTGCTCATCAACTTGGCCACCATCTCCTGGACGCGTTTCATCTCCTCCAGCTGTGACGTCACTTGATACAGACGGTTCTCGCGTTCCGCTACGGTCTTCTCCAATTGTTTTATCATCTGTGAAAATGTACCATTTACTAAGTAACTACAATTACATTTTGTTTCGTATTAACAAAAATCGTTGAATAATAAAAACTAATCCAAAATACGTGCAAAACCCTATCAGAGATCATCTTGTTAATAACATATGGATCATCTTGCCCACGCAGAGGTCCGATCGCTCCCCCGTCCAATTCAAACAGCGATCGAAATTAGTACGGCTTGAGCCGAGGTTCGAAGCCCTAGCGGTACCCTCAGACTAAAGTCGTATCCGTCAGGCGGGAGTTGACCGCTCCATAAGTCCTTCCATGGGTTTGGAGTGCCATCTGCACAGTGGAGTGCCATCTGCACATGCCACTGCCTAGGCCCGTCAGAGACGAGCGTTGAAAGATATTCTTAGGCGCGATGGTTTTATCTCCTCAGGATAGTGTGTTCTTTCTAAAGGAGATATTTCGTTTAGGCAAGAGTGGACTACAACCAAATAGAATGTGTAGCATTCCTCAACATGATATATATAATATGTGATATAGGTGAGATTTTAAAAAAGGTAAATATTATGATGAAACTTTAAGTAACTCAATATTTGAGCACGTTTGAAATTTCATTAAATATCTTCGGAATATGGTCCATATCTCGTACATCTTTCCCCTAACATACATACCGTGTCCTTATGCTCGAGGTCCCGTCTCAGCGCTGTTTCAGCCGCGGCTGCATCTTCCAGTCGTTTGTCGCGCTGTTTGACACGCTCCTCGAACTTAATCAGGACGCCCGCTAACTCACTGTTTTTGTTTGTCTGTAACGTACACAAATATATTAACAGTGTACTTGTAGTAATGAGTATAGATGAGTCTTATTACTACAGCCTGGGGTAAATTGTTAGTGTATAGGGTAAATCTCCGTAAAGGCGACGGATGAAAGACGACTGCATGCAACTGAAATGAGAATGTTGAGGTGGATGTGTGGTGTGACAAGAATGGATAAGATAAAGAATGAATACATTAGAGGAGGACGCCCGGTGTCAGAGAGCTGTTTTTGTTTGTCTGTAACGTAGGACAAATATATTTTAAGAAAGATGTTACAAATGAATGTGGATGGTTATAAGGGCAGTATAGAAAAAAGAGATGGATGGACTGTGTGAAAGATGATATGGTAAGAAAGGAAGTAAATAACGCGATGACTGCGAACAGGGATGAATGGAAACGAAAAATATATTACGCCGACCCCAAATAAATGGGATAAGGATGAAGCAGATGATGATGATGAGGGTAAATCTGCGGAGGTGGTGGGTGCTAAGTAAAGGGGAGTTACAGGCTCATTGGTAACCATCTACTATATCAATGGTACTACAGCCTGTATCCCTAAGGTTATGGGTCATTCAGTATCTAGACCACCTCCCTTCCCCTACCCAATTCTTCTATATCCCAGGTTGTCTGTAAGAGATTGCTTTGAGCGATGAGGCTGCCTATTGTTTGCATATTTTTCTTTTTTTGTAATTATTTGTTCTTATTGTTAACTATCGTGTGACGCACCATTAATTAAAAATGGTAAAGTCAATAATCATGTAACCTGAAACGGAACGTCAGAGGCCAGAACCAAAGTAATCTATGTAACATTGACAAGTGGATGACGGATAATTGAACGTAGGCAGCGGGAGTTTTGGAGCGAAAGTGTTGATATTATTATAAAAACAAATAAGAGATAGGTAATTGTGAATATTGTAGGCATTGAGGTGTTTCTCTCCCTGACTAACCGGCATTACGCCTAAGTCGTCAGGATACTAGTGATTTTAAAATTATATTTATGCACAATAAAGAGTTCTATTATTATAAGACATAAAATGGTTGTAACAAAACGCCTGCGAAACGATTCTTACAAAATTTTGTGTGTATATTCAGTAGGTATGAGAATGGGACGTAAACTATTTTTCATATCCCTAAATGATAAGGGTAGTCCACACACTTTTTTTTTTTAGAAATCTTCAATTATAAGTTTTTTATGTTTTGGTATTAAAAATTTAAATATACACGCAACCATAAATTTCACCCTTCTATTATCAACCCCTATTTTTTAATAATGATATTAATGTATATGTCAAAGTCAACTAATATTTATACGTATAGTTTTTGTCCTGGTTAATTCTTGGTGATTTACTCACAATTTTCTGACTTCATGATCCTTATATCTTCCTTTCGTTAGCACAGACATAATAATATCTTTGCAATTTTATTAATAACAAAAGCTCAGAATATTATTCTTGTGTAAGGATTAGTCATCAAAACACGCTTGAATAAAATAAATAACTACATATTAAAAAAATCATTTAAGAAGAAAATAACTTCATTATAGTTTTATTACCTGTTGTTCCAATTTCTTTTGTAAGGCTTTATTCTCGGCGTCTGCCTGCCGTACTTTGTCTTCCGCCTCTCTTTCTCTAACTTTCATCTCATTCTCTATATTCTGTAACAAAAAAAGGAAACTTTATCTTTAATACTTTTGCATACATTCAATTCAAATACGTTTAGTAAATTGAGTAACAAATATCTAAATAAATATACAAATTTTCACGAACACAATTATGTTATATAATAATAAATAATAATAATAATATAGGACGACCTCGGTGGTCTAGCGGTCTAGCACACTGCTTTACAACCGATGGTCGCGGGTTCGATTCCTCGCACAGCACAAACATTTGTATTCATGATTCATGTATGATTGTATCTGTCTGGATGTTTTCTATGTATAATATGTATGTATATACAAAAAAAATCTATGTATTTGTATCAGTTATCTAGTACCCATAACACAAGCTTTAGCTAGCTTAGCTGGATCTAGATGGCGCTGTGTGAATTGTCCAAAAAGAATATATATATAAGAGAAAAGTCGACTTGGAATGACAATTAAGCTAACATTCCACCTGATGGTAAGTGGCACCCCTCATATATATATACACGAAAAACATTACCGACATCACGTTATCATGCGCAATATCACTCTTGCGTTGTCATTCCAGAGAACTAATACGTCATGCCTCTTAACCTGTAATTTTATTACCTTATTTACACCCTACAACCGAAACATAGTTTACAAAGCAATGCTTATCGGCTGAAGTAACTGAGTCTGAGGTACCCACGTGGACAAGTTTTTTAAAGTTATCTCTGTTATTAATAAAAGTAATATTACTATATTATATTATAGTATATCATTCAGAAACATCATCATCTCAGCTCGGAAGACGTCCACTGCTGGACATAGGCCTCCCTCAAAAATCTCCACGATGATCGGTCCTGCGCTGCTCGCATCCAATGCCTTCCAGTGATCTTGAGCAGATCGTCGGTCCACCTTGCTGGAGGCCTTCCCACGCTGCGTCTTCCGGTCCGTATATCATTACATAGTATAAAGTCGCTGTCGCTGTCTGTCCCTATGTATGCTTAAATCTTTGAAACTACGAAACAGATTTTGAAGCGGTTTTTATAATAGATATAGTGATTCTAGAGGAAGGTCAAAATGGTCCAGCCATTCCAGAGATTAGCCGGAACAAACAGACAGACAGACAAAAATTGTAAAAAAATCTATTTTAGTGTATGTACCGTATTTATATTCATATGCGTGTAGTAAAAAACGGTTATTTCAATATTACAAACAGACACTCCAATTTTATTTATATGTATAGATACAGCCGTGCGAAGCCGGGGCGAGTAGCTATAGTAAGACGGGACATAGCGATATGAATAAATATAAAAAATACACTAACACTTAGCTGCAGCTTGAAGTCCTTCTGCAAATTCTCCTTTTGATTCTCTTTGTCCAACTTCTCGGCCGCTAACTTGGCGCGGAACCCTCGCAGCGTTATTTCCGCATCCTCCAACTGTTTGTGTAGCTCCTCTATTGTTTTTTTATGTCTAAATAAAAAAAAAACTTTTTTTGTTTATGCCAGCGAGCAAGTAATCATTATGTTTATACAGTTGTTTTGCATAGACGTCAATTCACGTGATTAAGATATAGCAGTTGAATGCTTACATTTAGGATTGAGTAAATATAATAATTTCATTTATTGTACCAGGAAATATTATAATTATAAATAATACAAGAAAGGAAGGAACTTTTTAATATCTACAGAAATAAAATTAAACTAAAATATTTTGATAAAAAAAGAATGAACACATATAATTAAAATAAAATAAAATATAATTTTTGTATCAGAGTTAGAAAAAGAAGGAAAAAATATTTTTTGTTTTTTATGATATTATCTTTATTTCCTATTTATTATATAACCTTAATGGAAATCATTGCCAAAAGTTAAAAAAAAAAAACAAAACTAAAAATAAAATAAATTCATTAAAAGTACATATACAATTAATTTGAATAAATAGATGTGTAAAATACAAAAAAAAACAAAATATACAAACACAAAAAGAGATTGCATCGGCCGGGAATCGAACCCGGGCCGCCCGCGTGGCAGGCGAGCATTCTACCACTGAACCACCGATGCTCATGACTGATTAGTGAATTTATAGACCACATTGTAAGTGAAAGTAGATTTATATAACAATATATGAATTACGTACATTATAACATATGGGAGACTTTTATTTACTAAAAGTAGGTGTATAGATACTGAGTACCAATATGAACAAATAATAGTCAACAAAATATATTCTGCAGGCTTAGTAATAAACTCGCAAATAATAAAATTGAATCATTTCACTAAGAAACAAAGTATATAATTCTATATAATTTCTATAACCATCATATGAACTGTGATAATGAGAAATTTAGTATTGCTCACTATCACAGTTCATATATAGATTTTAAAATTATATACTTTGTTTCTTAGTGAAATGATTCATTTTTATGATTTTCGAGTTTATTACTAAGCTTCATATTAGTCGTAGACTATTTGATGACCTAGCTGGTCTAACGGTTTAGCACACAGCCGTCCGATGGTCGTAGGTTGGATTCCACTATTATTATTATTTCACAATTTCATAACATATAGTTATTTTTATTGATGACATGTAGGGGCTTACATAACTTGTTTACACAATTGTATTTCTAAATATTGTTTAAGTCTATTGATTGCCGGATATCACTATTGTAGCGGGTCACCCTTTTTTGTATCAGTGACAGTTGCACTTGTCATTTTACTGACTGGAATTAATAATCTTACTTTAGCTAGATTTCCGTAATTGCTTATTATTATCATTGTATACATACTTTTCATTTTGCATCTGCGTGGTGTAAAGCACGTCCTGTTGTGAGGTATTCGTCGCTTGTAACATAGCGAGTGCGTGTTGTAATGACGCCATGTGCTCGCTGGCGCCCTGGTACACAAATCAATCAATAAATTCAATTTTAATAAATTCATACCAATACTAACTCTTTCTCGCGACTTCGTCTGTTTTAAAGATATCCTTCATCTATTCGCGTGGTACCGTCAGTTCGTAATACTGTCTGTTTGTTACCTTTTTTTTATGACTAAACGGGTGCAATAACCGTAAAGAAATTTAATGTTAAGATTTTATAAGGATTAAGGCTATTATATAAAAAAAAACAGATGAAGTTGTGGGTAAAAGCTAGTAAATAAATAAGATAAAATTGATCACTGAGCATGATTTAGTTCCAAGCTAAGTAATATTTATATAATTAATTAACTAAGAAATTTATACATATATGTGCTGAAATATGTATTTCAATATGACTGAGAATAAACTACCAAAAATCTATCATTTAATGGCGTCCCATCTAGTACTGTTCATTCATTCATAATTTAAGAGCTGTGCTCTTGTCGGTGGAGCTCCCGCCACCTTCCACGATCTTCCATCAGTCCTTTTAGCTGTTGATACGACACGACTCCAACTTTTTCTTTAACTTGCTTGATATAGCACTGTATACTATACAAAATGTATTGCATTACACATTAGCGACTCATCCCAGCTTTGCACGGGTGCATTACAAATATTTTAATTTCTCGGCTTGTTCTATAGTATAACACGCATGTATAATCTTACATATAAAATTCTCGTGTCACAGTTTTCGTTCCCATACTCCTCCGAAACGGCTTGACCGATTCTCATGAAATTTTGTGAGCGGTAGGTCTGAGAATCGGGGTACATCTATTTTTCATCCCCCTAAATGTTAGGGGTAGTCCACCCCTAATTTTTTTTTTTATTTTAAGGCAAAACAACGTTTGCCGGCACAGCTAGTACATATATATACTCCTTTTGAATCACTTTATCTTTTGCTGAAGACTGCTTTATAATCTGTTGTGTGATTAAAATATATTTTAGGGATCAAACAACAGCGGGGACTTTGTTTTGTACTATTTATGTAAAGACTAGCTGACCCGCGCCACTTCCTCTGCATGACACTTACTTGACATGTATCATTATATTTCGCGCAATTCACATATTATCATAATAAATTATAGCCTATGTGTTATTCTGCTGTATAATCTTTATTACTGTAAAGTTTCATCAAAATCCGTTCAGTAGTTTTTGCGTGAAAGAGTAACAAACATCCATCCGTACTCACAAACTTTTACGTTTATAATATCAGTAAGATTTCAATAATGTTAAGCTCCGATTAACAATATTAATAATGCAGTATATTAATAACGCAAAGTTATAAAAGGACTATATTTTAGTTATTTATAAATAATATGATTTACCTGCAACGCTACCGATTGCGAATGTAACCTCTGCTCCAAACATGTCATCTTGTACCCGTACAGCTCCATAACACTGGATGTAGCAATGTCCGTTATCTAAACAAAGGTTTTCGATTATAAATTGAACCATTTTTTTTCGTTTCGTTCAGTTTCGGTTATAAATTGAACAATTTTTTTTCGTTCTTTCGTTTTCGATTATAAATTGAAACAATATCAATCAAAAACGTTCGTTTTTTATTATAAATTGAACCATTATTTACATTTATTGTCCCACCCTCATATGCTAAGTTTATACGCTGGCGGGGCACCAGACGATGTCAGGATAGGAATTTAGATTACTTACATACCGGGGACAATTCACACAGCGCCATCTAGTCCGAAAATAAATAGACCTCTGGATATTAGACAACTAATAGAAATACTTTTTTTGGAAATAGATTTACGACCAGTTGTAACTTTTTAGGGGTGATTTTTATCCATTAACTTTCTCTTACATTAACAAGATCTCCTTTATACAACATTTTTATATTCAGAATACTTATTATAAAAAAATTAATAGTTATACTATTATTAGTATTGATCTGGGTATTTTCTATGTATATTAGGTTTGTATTTACAAAAAAAAAATCTATCTATTAATATCAGTTGTCTAGTGCCCATTACACAGGCTCTGCTTAGCTTGGAATTAGATGGCACTGTGTGAATTGTCCAGGGCTATTTAATTATTTATTTATTATTAAATATGGAAAAATAAGGCCTTTTATCTATCTATCTATCTAATAGTAACCTTCCCGCCGTGTAACGCGTCCGCTAGTTGCGTGACGAGCGCGTCTATAGCGTGCTCCTGCGCCGGCGCAAGTCTCTGCGTGCAACACTCGCCCGCAGCTTCCATCTCGCGAGGTGTTCCACACTCGCTGCTTATATCCGATATGCCTTGCAGACTCTCGCCGAATATCTGATAAAATATTGACAAGGATGTAAGATAGTCTTATACACTAGTAGTGCCTCGTAATTTTGTTTGCATTATGATTTAGAAGAAAGGGCGAGCACGCACTATTATCTCTTAGTGCGTAGCGTTCATTGTCTGAATTCATTATGCTCGACTCCTAATAGTCGTCTGTTTAATAGCCAATAACCTCAATTTTAAACCTTTTATATATATTTTCCGTACACTAAACAAAGTTACCAGAGGTAGACAGTACAAAGTCGTCTGCTTGGACCGTCGGACATATTTCAGTCGCCAAGTAGCAAATTTTGTAAGATTTGTTTCAATTGTAAGGTGCTATTAGGCAGTGAAATCACAGAATATGATATCTTAGTCATCTAAAATACTTATCAATTACAAAAAAAGTACCAAGGAAATTAAATTACGAGAAAGTTAGGAGGGCAATGGTGTTTGAGATACAGGATTTACCTAGTTTAGACACGACTGTACTGGACTTGGCGTTAAATAGTTTATAAAAATTACTTGCATTATACAGATACCTACGGGATATAAAAACTTAGTTTAATTCATTTTGTAAACTTATTATTATAACTAGCTGTTCCCGCGACTTTGTCCGCGTGGAAATTTAATTTAATTTTCTAAAATAAAAGTAGCATAAGTTACTCCTTATTACATCAGCTACCTGACAAAAAAGTCCCGTCAAATCGGTCCAGCCATTTAAGAGATTAGCCAGAACAAACAGATAAACAGACAGACAAAAATCGTAAAAAATGTTATTTAGTGTATGTACCGTATTTGTATTCATAAACATGTAACCAGCGGTTATTTCAATATCACAAACAGACACTTCAATTTTATTTATATGTATAGATTAGAAAAGTTAAAAAAGTTATACAGATTACATTAAGATAAGGAAAAAGTTATACAGCATATAGCAAGTTCATACCTGATTCATCTGATCGGAAGGAAAGTAATGATGCTTGACCAATTGCAATATTTGTCTACGACGTGAGCCGTTGCCGCCTGTGAGTCCGGCGCATAGCAGTTTCCGCACCTAAAACAACAGATAAATCTAGATGAGACATCCTAGATAGATGAAGTTGTGGTATCTCACTGGCCTGTAAACTGTTTAATATAAAAAAAATGTACATTTGATGTCTAATACTCTCCTAATCCTTACTAAATTTAATAATGATGAATGTTTTGCACTTTGCAAGTAAATAATGATAAGTTTTTTATAAATTGTAATTCCAAACATTGTGAATTGTAAGAGGAGGGAACTGGTACCTAAAATACAAGTTTCTACTTAGTACTTACCAGTACTTACCAGGGAACAATTTAAATTGTAAATATTGGATGCAAAATAAAAATTATTATTAATATTAATGTGAAAGTAGGGATGTTTGATACGCTTTCACGCAAAAACTAATGAACAGGACATCATGAAATTTTCTACACATGTTCTTGGAGGAATTAGAATGAATAAAGGACTCTTTTTATTTTAAAAAACATGCGAGCGAGCGAGCATGTAAAAGCTGGGAAAATTTTCCCTTAACTTTATTTCCTAAATTTTTGGACTCTATTTATCTTAAAAATTAAATCTATTATTTAAAATTATTTGTATGTGTTTAGGAACTGTTATAAGACGGAAATGATAACTTTGGTTTACAAATAAGCTACCATATAAAAATCGTTAATATAATAATGAATCCAATTGTTAAATTTTATGCTAAGTACTTATTTTAAAAACTTTCTCGTTTAGTACTCATAATTATGATAGTTAAACGAGTTACACGAATAATTTTATGGTAAATAAAGGTATTTCCTCTCTCGACGACTAGGTTGCATTAGCCGTGGTCACGAATTAACTGGAGAAAAAGCTCATGTCAATGTTGATGGTGTGTAGTGTAAAAGCAGCAAATTATAATGACGTAGAACAGTTATAGACAATAAATAAATATTAGATGTGGTGTGGTAGGTGTGACGAGTGTGGTAGGTTTGACAAGTGTATTAGGTATGACGAGTGTGGTGTACCTGGTGGTTTTTTTTTTTATTTTTTTTATTGGGTTGTTTGGGCTATTGTCAGATATCTGAACCTGTAGCAATGCAACCTACATAGATCTATTGTGCTCGTCCTTTTTCTAAGTTCGCTACCTAGATCCGTCAGGGATAAGAATTGAAGAATAGTCTTAGGAGCGATGGTTTTTATTTCCTCGGGAAAGAGTGTAAACTTTCCAAGGGAGATATTTCTCAAGTTTATGCATGAGTGGGCTACAACCCTATGTGTAGTGGCGTTTCCTCTTCAGTTTGGCAGAATCTGCAGATTTTTGTCGTGCATAGGCCTAGGTAAGCCATATGCTCGTTCAACTTAGTGTCCTGTGAGGGCCCTAGTCATCATATATGTTGTGTTGTGTTACCTGGTGGTGGGCGAGCAGGCGTCCGAGTGCGTCGTGCCAGCGTGCGGCCAGCGGCGACAGTGCGAGTGCGCTGCGGCACGACACCACCACCGCCGACTGGCCGGCCGCGCCGCCCAGCGCACCCGTCTACACCACAGCGGGAACAGAATTAACCACGTTACCAATGTTGACGACCCACCCCATAGCCGGCAATATACTACGACAGGTTGAATAGAAAAGAACAGAACATTCTCTATTCAAATAAACTTAAATTTAAGCACTTTTGAATAGTCAAACTCACTAGGAGTCGCCTGGTTTTGGAAATTCGACCGTAATGAGTTTAATTATAAGTTTGAACATTATTGAAATTCTATTGTAAATCATTCACTACACTACTACCTGTTAGGCTGTTAATTTGCCTATTTTGTCAATTTCTATGAGATTTAAATAAAATAATCTAAAAAATATATTAAAATGAAAAATATCTTTTTTAATCTTTAATTTATTGAAACAAAAACCGTGCGATAAAAAGTTTGCAGACCACAGTATAAATAAACAAAAGAGTACATCGCGTGTGTGTATCAAATACATTGTAGTAATGTTTTTTTAATTTAAAATAAAAACATTATGCAAAATTTCAAACTCCACCGTTACAAGTTTCATAAAAGGGGTTACAAACAAAGGTTTTACTTCACATATTTATATTATGATGATTTTAATTGTAATTTGAGGACACGTAGTCCTTTATATTTGCTTATATGCCTTAATATTCTATGAACAGCAACATATAAATTCCCTATATGAATAATTATACAATTTACTTTATTAAATTTACTTGAGCTGTGATAAAAGTCCCCAGCATAAAGAGGAAAAGTGATTAAAAAATACATAAAAACAACAATATTCACAATTAACTTTTCAGTTATGTTCTTCATACATATCTGAACAATTATTCAATTAAAGATTGCTGCTTACTTCGGATGTATACTGCAGTACACTATACAGCGTGTCCTCAAATGTGTCTGGTGTCACTTCGTTGAGTACCCGTTCTTGTGTCTCGCTCGTCTCGCACAAAGCACCCACTACTTGTAACTGAAACGAACGTATCATTTTTTTAACAATTTTAAACATATATTTCAATGTCCTCAGTCCTACCAGATTTATTCTGCTGTTGTTATTTTCTGATAACAATTCTAATGTGTAATAATGTTTATTTGTATTTTATCTATATACTCATAGTCAAATAACTTAGGCATCGTTTGTACAATTTCCGATATAACGTGCAAATAAGTTAGTATTTTTATTTATAACTCTACACGCGACTTCGTCCGCGTGGAATTTAAATTTATTTTTCTAAAATATATAAAAGGAGTCTACGTTATTCCTATTACATTAGCTACCTGCCAAAAAAGGTCCCGTCAAAATCGGTCCCGCCATTTCAGAGATTAGCCGGAACAAATAGACAGACAGACAGAAAAATATTATAAAAAATGTTATTTTGGTGTATGTACCTACCGTATTTATATTAATATGCATATAGTAAATAACTGTTATTTAAATATTACAAACAGACAACCCAATTTTATTTATATGTATAACTCCTAGTTTGACTACAAATAGTAACTAGTTCTTACGAGTTTAACGCAAAATTTGAAACTAATTTGTTATCAGTACTGAGACAGTAACCCATAAAAATCGGTATTTAACATTAATTTCCGATAGTGGCACAACACTATATAAGGATCGTAAAAGAAACTAGCAACATACGCAAAGCTAATTATGTCTCAGAGATAAACAGACACTCCTCTGGTGTGAAGATATAAAAGCAGACAAATATTTTTCTGACAGTATCTCTCAAACTTGCCGATTAGGCACATTGATTTAAGAAGAAAAAGTATAATATATCATTAAAATAAGTATTGCAGTTGCTAAGTAACAGTTGATATGTAACGTGCAACTGAATCAGATCGAGAATAAATTATATTTGCTGCTGTATACAATCCACTAAATGTCTCTATCAAAACCGGGATGTGATTTTTTTAATTATGCATCATAGACCTAACAAAAATAGTGGATATTTGTGTACTTACCCATTGCAACCCTGCTTTGCCTGGCTCCAGCGCTGGCGGCACTAATAGACTGGGCAGGCCGTCACTTATAACAGATATCAGATCTTGGGGCAAACGACCTTCATCTATGGATAAAATAAATTTTAACTGATATAAAATTAAAATAAGATAAACAATTTATTTAAAAAATAAGTAAACTCGAATCGAAATGATAAACTATAACTTTAATAAGAAATAATAAATAATAACATTTATCTTATTTATTCAGATATTAATTATTTACATTTTACATTTCCTAACATCTATACATATATCTATATCTGTTTGCTAACAAGCATAGTGTTCGAGCGCTATCGAACATGAGTTATTGACAGCCGCTAGGCCGGGACACCTATCACTTTGTCTTGCGCCTACGACGTCACCGCACGCGTACCTTATTAATTAGATAATGTTCCTTGTACTATTATAACTCCTCGTATTAAATATATTAATTTACAGTCCACTACGCATTTTATTTACGAGTCATCAACACATAGGCTTCCTCCAAATGTCTCTATTGTTAGCAGTTCTGGTCCAAGTACCACCTGCCACCACTTTGATATCACCTATCCATCTGTATCACGTATCATTCTGTACGGTGTTTGATATCACGTATCATTCTGTACGGTCCTCTTCTCCTTTGAAAAGGAGAGGAGACAATACGAAATACCCGTATCATATTCGTTTAGGAACCTCTTTTTCATAAGAACATAAGAAACTTGTTTTATTATCTATATTTGACGGCTGATATCAGTATGACAGACGACAGTATGTCATCCTCCCCACCGACCTCAAATAGTGGGATAAAAGATGAATAAAACATTTTGTTTTACCTTTGTACTGTAACACAATAGCGGCAAACAACTCGAGGGACTCCGGGAGGCAGACTTGATTAGCTTTCATACACAGACAAACCAACTGGATGTGATGACACCGCAATGAATACAGATCTGGAAAATGTAAATATTTTTTATATAATTGATGGTAAGTGTTAATCTTGGTCTACTCTATGACTATATGTCATATATTGTAAGAGGTTGATAGGGGAGGTGAATGGTTGTATGGAAGCTAGAAGCTTGAAACTATATTTATGCTGTTGATTAATTATAAATAAATAAATAATATGACATTCAAAGTTAATCATTTTACCCTTAATAAGTTAAATTAAAATATAGATAAGTTTGTATAAATATTCTTTTTCTCTAAAACTCAATCATATATGTATCTTTCATCGTTAACATAGCGTTCATCAGATTTTTTTTTCCACCGTTTTTCCTTCAACTTACTTTGAAAATCCCAATCATTCGAAAATTTTTGGGTTAATTTTATTTATTTATTTCTGGCAACATTATTGTATAACAATATTGGCCTATATTATATATACCTTAAAGACTTACATATGTAGAAAATAATAAAATATAATACATACATCAGAATTTTTAAAGTAAATCCACTGATTACCCTAATATTCTTACAAATTTTACCTCTTCATAATATTTGTATAGGCGACAATTACAATTTAGCGTCAGGTGGCCCATCTGCTTATTTGCCATTCAATTAACAAAGAACAACTCCGACGCCGTTCTTCTTCCGTCTCTTCGTATCTGGTGCAATGTATATATTGGTGGTATATACATTGCACCTTCTTTGGAAAGTCAAAGAGTCGTCGGCAAGGGCCGTCGGAGCTAAACATTATGCTATAATCATCTTATATTAAAGAAATAGAGATTGCTACAACAACTGGACCTCTGCGGTGCGGGTTACTATTAAATATTTACCTACCTAAGTTTACTACAACGGTAAGGAACTTGAGTGCATTTTGGAGACAGCTATGCGCTTGTTCAGGTTCTTCACTATCATCAGATGCCACCTTGCACAAGTTATCGAGGTCCTGAAGTTTAAATAAAAGAAAAATATATTATACAAAGTTAGTGATAAATCAAATAGTAATGAAACTGATCAATTTTATCAGAGAAGTAGAGAGAGAATTAATTTTTAAAATCTACATACATCCAGCGCGGTATCGTGATCAATTTCGTATGAAATGACAAATAGTTTATCAGATTCTCCACTTAATTTCTTCGTGAAATTTCTTCAGGTTTGGATTGTTATTATATTACATAGAAATACTAATATTCCAGTTGATAATAATGTATATTATGATTGTTGTAGCCTTAGGAAACCCTCTTTGGCGTTTCCCGGTCTTTTTTTTTTTAATTTACAAACTTAAGCCATTTATTAGTAGTCAATATACGATTGGTATCTAACGATAGCAGGCCAAAATATTAATCAAGTACAAAGTAAGTACTTATTATACAAACGTGATATTGAAAGGATGTATATGATTGGTGTGGACTTTGTTAAAAGTCGTCTGTGGTTGTCCATTTATACTCTGTTTCAGCCGCCAAGAAGCTTGCATTGTATGCTGTTTCGATTATATATATCGGACTAGCTTACCCGTGCAACGTGCTATCTGCTTAATATTTTGCTCAATTTATATATCTTTTTAAATTATAACCTGTCTATGTGTTATTCCAATGTATAAGCTATATTACTGTACATTAAAATCCGTTCAGTAGTTTTTGCGTGAAAGAGTAACAAACATATACTCACAAACTAAAGGCAACGTTTGCCATTTATCAACATTAGGTGAGTAGGTAATACCCACATAAAACATATAAACACAAATGTTTATATGTTTGAGAAACTATTTGAATGTGGATAAGATGTTTGTACACATATTAAAGAAACTTTTGCACGTATTCATAATTAAACTTGGTACATATATCTAAAGTAATAGATATCTAAAGTCGAAATATCCTTTTTGAAATGAAATTAAATAAAATTCTACCTGTAATAAATTGTTATGACATACCTTCAAAGCTTCTTTTAGTGCGGCCGTGAAATTTGGATATGTGAGTACGTATGTTTTCAGATTACTATCCGTACATAGATCATTGATGAATGTATACGCATGGAGCAACTGCGTCGCGTCTCTTTCACTGAAAACGATAATTCGATATATATTATCTTAACTAGTTGCACCCGCGAATTCGTACGCGTGGAATTTAACTTTATCTTTGTAAAATGAAATATTTTCTCTAAAATAAAAGTAGCCTAAGTTACTCCTTATTACATCAGCTACCTGTCAATAAAAGTCCCATTAAAATCTGTCCATAGCCCATTCAGCCATTTCAGAGATTAGCCGGAACAAACAGATTGACAGACAAAAAGACAATTGTAGTCGCAGAGCTTGTGCTATACATAACAAGACAATCAATTGTCTTGTTTTGTACCCATAACACAACCTCTGCTTAAATTGCAACTAGATGGCATTGTGTAAATTTTCCTGAGATATTATTATTAAAAAAAAAAAAGAAACACAACTTACTAAGCTGTACGGCTGTAATATGGTATCCAGCGGTATGGTATACAGCGGTATCTAAGCTGGATGACTTTGTACAAAGTGTAACTAGGTTATGATGACTATTACAAATTATGTAGTGTGATACTAACGCGATGGCCTTGTTGAATGTGCGCAGCGTGCAGCAGAGGTAGCTGTGGACGTCTTGCTGGCGGACGGCAGCCGCGCCGCGACTCGCGCCCGACAAGCACAGCAGCAATCGGCACGTCGCCACGCCGCCGTAACCACCGTCCTGTAATTTTTTATTATTTCTCAGCAAACATTCCGTCGTTCGATCGACATCGATTATCGGTATAATAACAGCAATAATAATATAAAAAAGTTAGTTTTATTACCAGTTCTTATCGACTGAAAAAGTTAACTAAACTGGACAGTGAGAAAAATATGATGTGCACAAGAGGCACATAGATCTTTTTTTTATGGATGATAATGGAATGGAGCACCCGCCTGCGCTAGCTGCGCTGGCAGGGCCTCATTGGAGGATGAAGATGAGATAAGATGAACATGAGGTCAGGTCAACTGACAAATTCATCAGGAATTTATCACGATGGTTTCCAGAGGAAACCGCGTGGAGGTCAACCTGACATGGTACATTGTTAGTTATGGGGTTATGAATACACATTACTAACTATCTCCTTCCCCTGGCTGATAATTTTTTTTTTAAGGATGATAATGTAATGGTGCACCGCCTGCGCTAACGGTTTACGCTGGCGGGGCACCAGTGGAAGATGATAAGATGAGCATGAGGTCAGGTCAGTCAGCCCATCGTGACAAATTCACCGGAAATTTATCACGATGGTTTCCAGAGGGAACCGCGTGGAGGTCAACCTGACATGGTACATTGTTAGTTTTGAATCCACATTAATAACAATCTCCTTCGCCCCGGCTGATAGATATTATGTGTATGTATTTTGAAATTGCGTGTGCCATGGACATCATCATATGATGCCCCTACCCTCCATGCGTTTCCATTCCATAGGACTGAGATGCCATGCCTCTGTAACCTGTAATTTAACTGCCATATCTCACCCAACCAAAACAAAGCTTACAAAGTGTCTAACCCCATCTGGGATATCTCTACTAATATTATAACGTATGTGAGTTTAGATGTTTGATAAGGATAAATCATTAAGATCTGTCAGCATTGTAAACAACCTCATCTTGAAAATTGTAAATTTAATAATATACCTTAAGGCTAATGAGATGCACCACAAAATCCTTTGTGTCAACTATCCTCATCAAGGCATATATTGCCGGCAAGTTTCCATAGCACATATTCACAAGCACAGTCAGTGACTTATGGCCTATGATCTTGTATTGAGGCTCCATCATTGGTTGTAAGATCCAATCAGTTAACTGTTTCATTAGACCAGAGAGATATGATTCTTGCCAACTAATTTTTATGCCATATGATATTTCCTGAAAAGGTATGAAAATAATTATACATGTAAACATAACATATGGTTATTTAGAGTTAAACCAGTGGTTCAGAAAGGTAATTGCACTTCAATCCAATTAATAAAAAATCCAAAACTCTGTTCTCTACTGACTGTCTAAGATTGGGTTCACATTATTCAGTTTAGGTTCAGTTCAGATGAACCATAGTATTCTATATTATAGTTTTGCAATACTGACCTGCATTACAGAAAGAACTTTAATTTTTTTGTCATTGGATATTGTGTCAGATAGCAATCGTGTAAGGATTGGCATGAATCTGAAATAATAATAATACAATCATGTTAAAAAAGAATACATTATAAAATGGGCTAACATTATCAGGTTTAACCCACCAATTTGGAATCTCGTTTTACACACCCCACCCTCTTTGGAAGTGTACTAATTGACGAGGCCGAACCGATAATGTCAGCTCACCCTCACACAATAGTCAGAAGGGTTCCAAATTAAAAGAACATACAAATACATAACATACAAGTATAAGACAATATAACAATAAGTAATGTTCATGGTGCCGTTATCACCATACTAGCTGACCCATGTAATTTCATTTACATTCCATTTCCCCAGCTTTTGCAATATTTTTCATTGCAGCTGCACTCCTATTGATCATAGCATAATGTTATATAGCTTATAGCCTTCGTCGGCAAATGGACTATCCAACACAATAATATTTTTCGATTCGAACAGTTCCATTTGTAGTTCCTGAGATTAGCATGTTCAAACAAACTTTTCAACTTTTTAATATTAGTATAGATTGTAGTCTCTTCTATGACACTATAAGTTTTAAAACTACAACTTCTGAGTTCTTTTCTTTGCTTATTTTGGAGGACCTGGGGGTGGGGGAGTCTGTATGATGATTAGCATCGGTCATAATTTAACAGATGGCAACCCTCACATTGTCTTTGTTAAAAAAACAATACATTAATTGAGAGATTGTTTACGTAAGCATGGGGGGAGGGGTTTTCTATATATAATATGCTATTTACAAAAAAAAATGAGGGGTATATTGTGATAAATCTGCTTAACACAAGCTCTAGCTTGAACAGCCCCTCTTCTATGACACTATAAGTTTTAAAACTACAACTTCTGAGTTACACATAATATGTAAATACTTGCTTACACCCTGGAGAATTTGTTAATGAATTTGTCCTGCAATTTTTTTTACAGCTAGTGTAATATTTATGTGAGTTTTTTATAAGTAAACAATCAAAATAGCATATTTACTTATATGTATGTGTCAGAGCATGTCTTGCGCTGGGTTCGATGGCAGCACGTGCCAGTACAGCAACACCAGCCCAGTGTGGACCTCGACCGTCGCACATCACACGCCATAATGAGCTGAAGAAGGCACAAACCTCGGACCGGCCCGGGGAGAATATTGTTAAATCACAAGACGAAGCTACAAGCTGAAATTATACATCACACATCAATTAGCCTGAATAAACTTAAGTATGCCCTGAAATGGCGCACCTGTGCTAATGATATATGAATGCGAGGATCCAGGAAGATGACAGGGTAAGGAAGCAGTCCAGTCAGTTGTGGCAAGTTTACCACTAACTAAACAGAATGGTTTCTAAAGTTCGTAGTGTAATATTTATTATCATACAATACACTTCTAATAAATATTTTTATCCAAGTCAAGAATTGGATAAAAATGTTTTTTAGAAGGAAACAGATCTTTAGTTTTATACTTTATACTCTATAAAATATCGAGAACTCAATATAAATAAAAGGTGGTAAGATTGCCTGATTTTTACTAATTATACGTATATAAAAGAAATTATTGGGTACACACTCCCAAATATCGAGTCATCAAATTCACAGCAGATTCACTATGAGTAGTTTCAAATTCACGAGCAGCAGTCACAAAGGCCTTTAAGTTTGCAAATTTTCCAGCATCCGAATAGTTACTATTGCAATATTCGGCGCCGTCCACTTCCATTTTCAAGAGATTTATTAAAAGTCTTCACTGATTAAAGTACAGTTATTAATTAATTACAAAAAATATAGTTAAAATCATGTGTGCCAATTCTCTACTTCAAAATATTTACAAAAAAATGTCACATCCAAAAGCAGACTAGAAAAGTTTCAAATGAATTCAACTGTTATTGGTTTGGTTTTATTTTTTTTTATAATTTGACATTTCGGCGTGTTTGTTTATCAAAATCTGTATTGTGATTGGTCAATTTTATAACCTCCAGACCAGAGACGAATTTAGTTACAGCAACACTGTTGCCTAGTTACGGTTTCCCGCTGCTTATTTTATTTGCCGCTATCATGCGAGATTAAAGTACAAATGAATATGTACGATATAAAAAAGAAATAAACTTATATTTTTAATGCTAATCGACAAAATACTAACATTATGTAATATGGAAAAATGAAAAACCAATAGTTTTGTAATAGTATCAAACCGCTATCTGTGGTAAATGTCAATAGATAAAAACAGTGATTTATATAGTTTTTAATCTGTGCTGTGACGTCAACTACTAACATTTTTACCCAGTTCATTTAATTTTTGCTTATTTATTCATATTAAAATTAAAATATTTTTTTTGTCAACAAACTATATATTTCATCATGGGTGTAGATATAGAAACGCTCTCTCCAGGAAATGGTAAGTCTTTTATTTTTTTCGTTTTCGTATAACCTACAAATAGTTTGGTGGACTGTTCTTATATTTTTTGTAGGACATATATAATCTAGTTAATTATGTTCAAAAGTTATAAAAATACTAAATCTAGTAGTAATTAATTCGCGAGGATTAAAACATCATTCAAACGAGAATCTATTTGCATAAGCGCACACAAAAAACTTAGTGACAATTTATATAGTACACTAACTCACCGGCTATGTAAACACCGTTAACAAATAATTGCTCCGATAGATTTCAAAATACCGAATGAAGTGTAAGCAAGTGTCACCATGACATCGATAATTGATAAAGCCTCTGAATGACTCTTTTGGGATATCCCTTGTGAATATAAATTATTGAATGTTTAATTATTTTTAGGCTCCACTTACCCCAAACCTGGCCAGACAGTAGTAGTCCATTATACAGGAACTTTACAAAACGGTAAAAAGTTTGACTCATCCCGTGATCGTGGACAACCATTCAAATTCACCTTAGGCAAAGGTGATGTTATAAAAGGATGGGACCAGGGATTGGCGAAAGTAAGTAAAATTCTTGTCATTAAAAAGCTATATTATATCTAAATTATAATAGATATTTTAATCTGAGGAACTTTTGATTCGAATTGAAAAAACCTTTTTGTGTTGGATTGTCCAGTTTTCGACGAAGGGTTTAAGCTATATAACATTATGCTACGACAAATAGAAGTGAAGCATCAATGAAGTGGAAAATGTTGCAAAAACAGGGAAAATTAAACAGTTTAAGTTACCCATAAAAAATGTATTGTTATTGTTTTTGATTACCATGCGAATGAAGACACAAGTAGTTTAATAACAATTTCATTTTTAAAAGTTTTAGTATGTCAGATACTACAAGTCTACTATTTTTTTTTTATATGAACAAATCTGTGAATTTCATATGATAATTATATTGAGACTCAGTATAAAATTGTTAACAAAACCTACTTCCATTGAAGGAAGGGCTCTTTCTTTTTCATCATGTTACATCCCTTGTTAACTTATTGTTAGAGAATTCTAGTCTAGTCTATAGAGACAAAAAAATGAACTATTTTTTTCTTTTTAGCTTTTATTTGTGAACAGTAAGATCTTAGTGGTTAAATATTGATGTACAGTAGCTGTAATCAATAAACTATTCTTCTATTGCAGATGTCAGTTGGAGAGAGAGCTAGACTTACTTGCACACCAGACTTTGCTTATGGCTCCAGAGGCCATCCCGGTGTCATTCCACCTAATGCTACTTTAATTTTTGATGTGGAACTGTTGCGTGTTGAATAGTTTATATTGTTATTGTCTTGCCATGTGTGTATTGTTTTATTTATGTATTATACATTCAATCTCATAGGGTCACTTTAACTGCTGAGTGATTTTGTAAAAAGGCTGACTGTGCTAAGACTATGGGTGTAGCATGGTGAGGCAGGGTGGAACATGCACCCCACCTTGGCTATGACCTGTAAGGTACCTAACCAAATCTAAAAAATTAAATTATCTAAGAACTATAATACTAAATATCAGTAACAAAGTTTGTACTCGAAAGTTGAGAAAAAAAACATACAAATACAGGGTGCTATAGGGTGTAACCATATTGTATAAAAACATTAACCGGGGTATGACTGTGGGTATAGTTTGCTAGTTACATAACATTTTAAACTGTTGCCCCACCCTGGTCCCATGGCCTGCTACGCCCATAGCTAAGACTGTATGTATGTACTCACAATTGTACTAACATGTTCTTACAACACAGCCAAGCAGGTAGCTATCCACATAAGTATATACTAGTTGTGATGTGATATAATATGTGCAAAATAAGAAAACTATCTTAACTCACCGCAAGTTCTCAGCAGTTAAAGTGTTTAATTTAATTAATTAATTAATTGTTATAACTTTTCGTCAATCTTATTTGATTCAAGTTTGGTTTGTTTCTTGATTATTGACAAATTTAAATCTAAAACAGTATTGGAATATTAACAAATTCAAAAATCTTTTTACATCAGGTATAGCTTAATTGTTTTAATTTAATAAATATAGTACTTACATAGAATCTAACAGGTAGGCATAAAAGACAAATAAAGCCATATAATTTCTCAAAGAAACTAGAATGTAGGTCTAAAAAATTGATCATAGACACAAGATAATACTGGCTGATTATTGAAGAAATAAATATAATATTTTAAACCACATCCATTGAAAAAGGTTGTAAGTCTGACTAGTACAACTAATAGTGGAACTGATAAATATAAATACAAGCTATGTATAATCAAAATATCTCAGATACGGAAATACTTAAAAAAATAAAAAAGCATTTTTAATAATGAATTATTCATCTAAAATATATTATTTACTTTAAAGCTAACTCACTAATATAAAAAAAACACAAATTAATTATAAAAATTGTCAAATTTAATGTAAATGTAATAATTTATTATAAGTAATTTTAAAGTTAACTATTTTCTTTTTGTTCAATAATGAATTAATATTGCTTTGATTGCTTTAGGTGGTCTTTTTTAATAAAATAAGAATGTAATGTGTCCTAGTACTGAGGAAACTTGTGTTCCTAATATTATAGGTCATTAATCGTAGACTGTATTGCAAGGGAATCAAAAACTATTGTCTATGGTCATGGTGCTGTATGTTCTATTCGAAATTCAAAGCCGTAAAAATATGTAGTTAGAAGTAAAATATTATTTGGAGCCAAGTGATTTAACATTCATTCTTCTCTGTGAGAATAGGTAATAAGAGACACATATAACTCAAAATAAAATATATTTATATGTAATGATAATACAGTTGAAACTTGATTATACAATCCACAGTTTTCGATTCGCTAGAATAATTAGTCCAAATTCAAGTTTCTACTGTAGAACAATAAAAAACAATATAAATTTTATACATTAACCCTTTATAAAAGTATTGGAGAAAAGACCTACTTTGCTTGCACATAATTAACAATCATTCTTTTCCAGCAGATGTAAAGATTTCTAACCATTTCATAATTTATTTTCCTCAACAAAGCTAATGTGTTATTATTATATGGATATTAATAATAAATAGTTTCAGTAAAAATTTTTTATAATTTAATATCACATTATTTATACCCTTTACCATTTTTTTACAACTTATTTATACTTAAACCATAAAGTTATCACATTTCAACCCCAACGTGTAAGGATCACCTTTGGTGGCAAACACTTACAGGTACAACTGTTGCTTATATACATGCTGTTATATGATTTTTTCCAATTACTGTTAATTAGGTGACTGTAATTACAGTACAGTTAATTATTTAACACTAATATAAAAAAGTACTATACAGTTAAGAATCTAGCACAGATAATAAGCAGAGTAAGAACTCCATCTATTCTAATTGTCTCAACACAGAAGAGATTTTGAAATATATATGTATACATGATTTTGTATCACAGTGTTTGACATTAAATTCCCATGAAAGGTTTTGACTGAAGATTTATATTTGGTAGGTTATAATTTATAAGAACAATGTTTGCCAGGTCAAATATTAAAATGAATGTAAATAAAAATAGTAACACTGGAGTTTACTGGACATATTTTTTGGGATGGAAAGACCTACATTATCTTTAGTGGAACAATTTTATTACTTCTAACGCACAGAACATTATAACTACCACTCCCATCCTATGTGAATTACATCTCTATAATTTACTATATTTAGAGTTCAAGTTACAATCGCAACTATTATTTTATATCATGCAAACCACTCATATTTCTTGCTGATTATTACTATTTTACTAATTACCAGGATAATAATTCATCAGTGGCACAACAGTGTTCTTTGTGAATGTTGATCGGCATAATGCACAGGTCTCTAATGCTCCATAACAACACTGGAAACAAAATATATGACCACAAGGCAAGACACAGGGCTGCAGAATCTCCTCCAAACAGGCCACACACGACTTACTACTGTCCACCTCATTTGGTATTTCACTTAACTGATCCATATATTTCTTAGCTTGGTATACACTCTGTGCACATGATATAAATGCATGCAATAACGTTATAAAGCCTAATAATCGCAAGTGGGCGTAAGAAGCCGCCGCAGCAGGCCTTATATGAACATAATCTATGCCAGTCATTGTCTTTCCTACTTGAATAGGACCTCCTCTGATATAACATAATGCTCTATTTATACTTTGTATTTGTGGAACCATTGTATTTACTGCTTTTAAAACTACTAAAAAAGCATTCTGTGCGGCAGGTTGTAAGGATCCATTTCGCTCGACACTCTTCTCAGCGTTACGAATAAGTTGTCTTGTAAATGTTTCGCCAAAAGCAGATAAGAGTATGCTCATTAGTCGAGCGCAGAACGTAGGCAGTTTGTTATAACTTTCGTCGACTTGAATTATGCCGGAATACTCTTCTCCCAATGTTTGTAGATCCTTGAGGGTAGTGAATGACCTGTACAATACCGACGACAATGGTGCAGCTTTATGAGCATGCTGTGCAGGCATAAGTTTTGATAATGACTCCGCTAATTGTTTTTCATATAGATCATCCTTCTGCCACGCTCGAAGTACTTCAGCAGGTTGAGCAGCCGGTCGAGCCATATTTATTTAAAATACAGTAATTATTTTACATCTAATCGTAATATATAATAAATTTACAAAATTGTAAAAAATATGTAATACTAATTTAACTATATTTGTTTTTATCATGAAATGAAATGACAGTGACTGATCAAAAACAACTTTCATGTTAACTGATGTTGACTGACATTTGACAGAGTAACTTATATATTTTTTATTTCAATTCTGATTGGGTAAATAATCACTAAGTTGTTTTGGACTCTGATATTCTAAAAATATAGGATATTCAAATGTGCTCTTGCTATAATTAATTTACTATTGCGTGTACCATGACGTCCACGACATCGTGTCGTGATGGTATATACCTATTTTTATGTTCATCATAAGTCTACAAGAAATTGTTCTTTTAATAACAAACAATAGCGAACTTTACGTGTAAATTGTACATTACAATTTAAATTTTTATTAATATTTTCTTAATTAAAACAAAACATCGAATTTTTAAGTATAAGTATATTTTAATAAATCTTACATGTTACAAATACATGAGGTATTTGTCTGATTTTGAGGATACAACAAAACAAAACTGCATCAGAATTACACATCTACATATACTTACATATACCAGTAGCTATGAGTTAATTTTTATTATATTTTTTGTATGAAAACTATTACTCATAAAATTTCTCATTCAAATTGAATTGGAAAAGGAATAATTTAAAAAATATGTATTAGTGCACATTAGAATAATCTCATACTAATCATCTAATGACAAACATGAAAATTTAAGATTATAGTCCTGATATACTTGTAGTTAGCAATTCGTAGTTATTCATGTGTACAAACGATGTTATATATTGTTAGAAAACTAACTAGTGATTGTTTATATTGAAACTACAATAAAAAATCTACAAGTGACTTCACATTACAACTCATCATAATTTTTTATTCAATGAAGATAAGACGACGTGGCTTTTAGACGCTATTATTTAAATGTTTCGATTGTAAGGTGCAAGCATTAGGCAGTTACAATGAGAGGCATGATATCTTAGTTCATGGAATGACATATATAATGCTACATTTTTGTTTGGTACAGCGTATGATGCAAATGCGCAGAACAAAAAAGGTACACTATGTGAAGAACACATTAACTGCGCGACTTCTTCTATCCCCCCGTCCCGGGTGGGTCCGGTGTCCCCACCAGGGGCGCGTATGTCAGAAGAAGTGATGGTACGAGTGGGTATGCGTGTGTCAAGTGCGCCGACGCTTCGCCGGCGTCGTTGCAGGCGGGGTGGAGGTATTAGCTCGTCGGCGACCGCGGCGAGATCCACCATCTTCGTCTATGAGAGGCGAATCCCAAACTGTAATGAAAATATTATATTGTTATTTGTTATGGAATGTCATGGCCTAGTGTTTTATTTAACTCAGGCTGAAAGTTAGAGACTTCTTATAAAAATGTAAGGCCGTCATAAAAAAGTCGGCAATTTATATATTTTACAGGGATTCTAAAGTGATGAAATAAAATTACATATATCAAATAAACAGAATAAAATTTCTTAAAATATAATTAATTCATTAAAAGTTTAGTGCACAAAAATAAAATGTAACCAAGCCAACCAATGAAACTGAACCAATTTCACAAAGAAACAAAGTGAATATCCGAAAATACTATTTTGGACTTTTCCTAATTCAAAATTATTAATGTCCTCACTTAATTATTATAATTTAGTAAGAAATAGAGGTTATTTTAAACTGAGAATGAATTTAAATTGTACAATAATTTCTTTTGTACACTTACCTGAAACAGAGCTAAGTTTAGACTTGGATGTTTTATCTCTCTGTGATGTTGATTTCCTACTAGTTGAACTGTCGCGAGTGCCTGATGCATTTGAATCCCTAGAGTCTCTTCTTCGGTCTGTAATTAAGTAACTATAATATTATAAAATATAATCACCAATTAAATACTTTTTAAACTGATTTCGAGTGTATTCTAGTGGTAAGGTTATTAAGATATTCCCATACATATATATATCATGAAGTCGGGATCTGATAATGTGAACCCAAAATAATCAAGGGAAATCGTCAAATATCATAGGCAGGTATTGTGTTTGAGCTTTCTAGTTAAGTTGTTGAGGTATTTGCAACTAGGAATGATTACTTGTTAATTAATTAAGAAATCAAATGCCAAAAAAGTGTCGCAATATATACACGTTTTTTCGTGCGTGATTCAGTGTGGGAAAACACATGCACACAACCCTGACTGATGACTAAAACATAAAGTATTTATTCTCATACTTTTTTTGCATGTGTGTAAGTGTGTATTTCCATTGACATGTACGCTCATGTGCTCTGTCTCTGTCTTTCTCTACCTTTACAGGTATACTTTTTTGTGTATGAAAGCCGATTCACTTACACTTGAAAGGCATACATGTGAAGGCTATAAAATAGATATTGACTAACCATAATCCTTCTCTGATTTGATGCTAGGTGTGTCAGTTGAGGCATGAGAACTACCACTTTCTTTGCGAGTTTTGGTTGCTAGTGCACTGATACTGTCTTTTCGCATACCTGGAGAAATAAAGATATTAAATGAAGTTGTGCATTTATAACATTTGCAGTTGACAATGTCTCTGGATACCCATTCTAGGGATAACAGTCATAATGGGATAATTGACGTAACCTCTTTCTCATCCTATTATCCCCAACTGGTGCCTGCCAGTGTAAACCATTAGAGCAGGTGGGTGCAACATTCCAATGTCACCCATTAAATAAACATTTCTAGAGTTATATATTTTGGAAATAAGAGAAAGCAGCAGTAAGTTAAATATTAAAATATATTAAAATGATAAAGTTTACATATTGACATTACAAAAATTCCTGAGATATTTTAAAGTGACATATTCTATAAAAATGTACAAACAACTAATTCTATGATGGCCAGCATTATACTTCCAACAATATAAAACACATAAATACCTTTTGGTGTAGAATCTTTGGATGTGCTTCTGGGTGTTGATAGTTTTGGAGAGGGGCTGCGGCCATCTAAACATACATTGTAGTATCAAATATACAATCTGTCAAATATTTATGACACAACAGCCAGATAAGGTGAATTTATTTTAATTTACAGGTAATTCATGTTTTAAATTACAATAATTTATTTAATGGATGGAAGTACATAGATAGAAATAAAATATACATATAATCCATCTAGAATATGATCTATCTGTGTTTGAAATGTCATTTCACTAGAATCTGTTAAATAATTTATGACTGATTTTAACATTTATCAAGTCAGCCAGCCAGCTAGCAATTTTAAATATATGTTTAATATTGAATTTTAAATATGAAACCCCTGAATAAAAAACAACCAAAGGACCATCTAATGGTAAACAATAACATACCACATTACATTACATTGTGTAGTAAAAAAAAGAACACATAAATTCTATTAGTCAGTTGGAAAGTAGAAGATTGAAAAATTGTTTATATTACCTTCACTATCGTCAGTTAACACAGACTCTTTGCATTTCTGCTTAATCAAACTTCCAAATTCATTCTCAGGCAAACTAAATGCCACTTCTTGATTTGGGAACGGTATTCTTTCTGTGTCATCTAACAGAGAAATTTCGTAAAGAGACTCTAAATGTTTCCAAATATCTTTGGTCGATACCTCTTTCGTGATAGAATTGGATAGCTTTTCCCAAATACAAGCCATATGAAAATGTTTGTTTATACCGACTGGTTTATGATTTGCCATTGCGTAAAATAGTTGTATTTCCATTTCAACATCCCATTCCACAACATCGTTAGCTTTTAATTCGGACTCTTCTTCGCTGGAAACCATTGTTTAATCGTACATAAATTATATTTTATTTGTATTATTGCATCCAGTCAAACGCAAGTGGAGTTACGATAAATTATTCAGACACAGAGAATATTTTTATTTTACGAATATAATCTAATCTATGAGTCAGTGGATAAGTTCTAATAAATTATTAAATCAAATGCACCACTTCATATACTATACAGATTTTTTGTTAGTGTTTTGTAACTTTGCTTTAAGTTTATTTTCTCAGGTTGCCGAATGTCGACTGCTGAGTCGAAGCCACAGAGTACTTTATTATAGTCCAAGCCTACAATGTCACAGGTTGCAGTCAGTCAGTCAGTCAGTCAGTCAATCAAGTTATGATGAATGCTCATTTTGCTGAGTGGTGTGGTTATTCTTTGATATTTATTACGCTTGCCGAATTATAATTTTTCATAAATAAATACTATGATTTGTCAGTCCTTCTCCCTATCAATAGTGAATTAAAACTTCTATATATCGTTTACAACAATGGCGAATCACTACGAGGTTCCTAATTGGTAAATATCATAGTGTTGATTTCATAGAACTATGTTACCATTCAAATACTTAGAATTTATTTACTTCATTATTTGTAAAATTATTATTCATTACACGTATTTTGACATTCTCATTACTGTTTATGGTTCAGTCCCGAATTTTACAAATTATTCTATTCATAGTAATAATACAGCGGCTTTTGTTGCTTTGGTTAGGTAATGTCTACATTTTTATTACAGGGCGGGTAAACCACCGACTGGACTCCATTTAGACGTGCTAAAGGGCGATAAATTAATACAAAAATTAATGATAGACGAAAAAAAATGTTACCTCTTTGGACGCAATCCCCAAATGAATGATTTCTGTATAGATCACGCTAGTTGTTCAAGAGTGCATGCCGCATTTGTATACCATAAACATTTGAATAGAGCCTTTTTGGTAGATTTGGGCAGCAGTAAGTATTTTTTTTAATCTTTAGTTGTTGTCATGTTTGTCTACAACTGTAATCAAAAAACATTATTGGTTGTGGTAAACTCAAAAGTGACAGATAACTAAAGCAAAGCAAACCAATTAGCATTTATTCAGTTTTATATCTGATTAAAGCTAATCGACTGATTGACAAAAAGAAAGAACTCTAAACATTATAAAAGTTATAAGGGGATCTTTACGATAATAAGATTGTTTATGAACACCCCATATTTCGACTCTGTTACAAACATAATATTATTAATATAATAAATATGGTACATATATGTATGATAATTATTTACATTTCTGTAACTTTTATATTTTAACCTGTCATGTTCAATGTCTATTGTCTATTTCTCTTTGGATTAAATTTCAATAATGTTTTCCATTGCAATTACATAATGTATTCTTTATTTCCAGCTCATGGCACTTATATTGGTCAAATGAGGTTGGAAGCAAACAAACCAACACAATTGCCAATTGATTCAAATTTTCATTTTGGAGCCTCTACAAGAAATTATATTATTAGGTAATTGTTTATTTTTCTTATATACAAAACAGGTCAGGTAGACCTGCAAGATCGTGTGTGTCAGACTTCTTTGCATCTTCAGTTCTCTCATAGTGTGATGTGATATGATGTGAGCATGATAAAAGGTAAATTCTTTTCTTTATAGACCTGCCCAAAACCAAAAGAATTTACAAGAACAAATTTAAAAAAAATTATTTCAAGCAGAGCTTGTGTTACTGTTCTCTAGTACCCTTAACACAAGCTCTGCTAGTTTGGGAATTGATGGCGCTGTGTGAAATGTGTAAGAAATGATACAAAAACAGACAAAATGTGATGCCCATGATAACTTTCGCGAGTCACCTAGTAGTACTATTTCTATGACAGTAATTCTAAAAAAAAACATATTTGTTACTATAAAAATTACATTGTTATTATTATTTTTATGTATTACTCTGTTAATAATCATACAAATGAAATTTTCAGAGAGAGACCAACAGGTAATTCTCGAGGCATCATGGAGGATCTACCAAATACAGAACAAGAGGGTGCTTTACTAGGATTGCCTGAAACACAAACTGAATTAGATGTAAGTGCTGTCATCTTATTATGAAATATATTACTTCATTTTCTATTCACTTTGTCTATTTGATCTGCTTCTGTAAGTTGTTCAGAAGTAGTTCAGTCTGTTTAAATTAAACAATACTAAAGATTATTTTTTTCTGTTTCAGAATTTAACAGAATTTAATACAGCACATAACAGAAGAATATCTATGTTGGGCATATCAACTGATGATGGCACGGATGTTATGAAGGTAGAACAATAAATAATTGAAAATTATTTACCAAGATATACTTTGTAGAAGTCGCCTGCTTTGGTACCTCAGTCTCACCTATTTCAACTGCGAAACCAATTGCTTTGTAAGCAGTTTTAGTTGAATAGTAGTGAGATTGCAGGAAAGAGGCATGATTCCGAATCCTGCCATATGGCAATGCATGTAGCATAACATGGATATAAAAAGATAGTGTGGTGTCTGTAGTCCCATTCATGCAATGCATGCAATTTTATTGATATTTCTGGTCTATTAATGTTAACTATACTGTTTTTACTCCCATATTATATATAAAATAAGAAAATCTATTTTTATTGAAAAGAATTCACCATCTCTAACAATAATGTCAACATCTTAATATCAAATCATCATGATTAATTCCTGGTAAATTTGCCACGATGGGTTAACCGACCTGACTTCATGTTCATCTTATCATCCACTACTGGTGCCACCCCGCCAGCGTAAACCGTTAGCGCGGGCGGCGCGGCGGGGCGCATTACATTAATATCCTCTAAAAAAAAACATCTTCATATCCTTTATGATATTCCAATCATAAATGAATTCAGAATAATATGATTTACATTATTCTGAGTTTTTGTGTTATGGAAACATTTCATTATTTAAATTTATCAAACTCAAATTATGTCCACCTAAAAAAATTTCTTCATTAGTTAAGAAACAACTGCTTCTATAATAAACTACCATGTATTACAGCCACCAACAGGCACCAAGAGATCAGCATCAATGCCCGCCGGGATGACAAAGAAAATGAAAAGAAATGTCTCCTTCAACGAAGAGGTGGATATCATCAATCCTGAAGACATAGACCCTACCATTGGCAGGTTTAGGAACCTAGTCAAATCTACCATAGTGCCAAATGCTAATACTCCACCTAGGAAACTCAAGTTGCAGAGTGCTGATGATAGTAAGTACTTATAATAAAACTCTCAAACTATAAATGATAATACTTATTTTTAAACTTCACTTATTAATATAGTTAAAAGGCGTTTTAACACTCCAGTCAGCTCCACACCACGGCAAGTGGAACTTAGTTGAAGTGTTGAGAGAGGTTTCCAAATTATTTGCCATGAATTTATTCATATTAAAAGCTTGTTAACTATTTTATTAATATAATAAATAAATGAATAATGCCATTAAAAAACAAACGGTCTACAAACGCATTATTAAACATAACTCAAATACAACTACTCAGATCTTGATGAAATTTATATGGAAATTCTAAAAACACAATGTAGAGCATCAGTATATTTACAAATACAAAAAGAATTACCAAAATCGGTACACATAAAAAAGTAGTAAATAGTTGACTTGAAACCTCTTTTTTTTTTAAGATAGTTGAAAAAATATTACAACTGTATTCCCAAATAAAGTAGCCATGACATAACACTTGACATGACCAAATTGGAATTAAAAAATCATTTATTCATGTAAGACATTATAGCCGCTTATGAACGTATTTTTTTTTATATTATATTTTTTCCCTACCGTCCTGCTAATATCAATTAGGGGCCGTTCAAGTATTACGTAAGCACTATAGGGAGGCGGGGGCTCTTTTCTTTGCTTATTTTGGATGACATGGGGGTGGGGAAGTCTGTATGATGATTACGTCATCGGTCGTAATTTACTTTTTTACACGAATGGCAACCCTCACATTGTCTTTGCTAAAAAAAACAATACATTAATTAAGAAATGATTACATAAGCATGGCGGGAGGGGTAAGAGCTTTGCTTACTATTGCTGACAAGGGGGATGGGGGGTGAATAATTGTAATAAATCTGCTTACGTAATACTTGAACGGTCCCTTAGAACTAGAAATTCTAAAATCAACCATAGAACCCGCACATAGTAGGAGATGTTTTTTATGAATATACACTGGCAGGGTAGAAGACGATAGCATGACTTAGAAGTCAGGCCAGTTGTAGCTATTAACCATATAATAACAGCTAAAAAATTATTTTCAATAGTAATCACTGGAGAACGTGTTAACAACGAACAGACAAGACAGGATCTTCTGTCCTTAAAAAATACTAATTTATTCAAGGTTGATAAAATAAGCTACGAATGGTATAAAAGTTAAAATAAAGACACGAATTTCTGCATACTCTATGGTATAGAATTAGTATAAAATAATAGTGTAATTTAAAAAAAAAACATTGTTAGCTCAAAATGAATTTATTATGTTAGTGATGTTTTTCAAAAGATATCATGTTGGTAGGGAGTAGGGGAAAAGTTATAATACAAAAAGTTCTATGTTCATAAGCGACTAAAATTAATTTTATTTGATTTCATTTATCTCTTAGATGTAATAACGTAGATATAGACGTGAATGGTTATATTGCTAAAAACGTAATGATTTATGAAATAGTAAAAAATACATGGTTTCTAATAGATATAGAGACGAAAAGAGACAGGAAAATAATGATGACTACTTCTCTATCCATACCGCCATAGATAATAGAGTCTTTCTTCATTTCAGGTCAGCACCACCACTCACTGCGGTTGCAGGAGATATCGCGGGGGAACAACTTGTATTCTGATCTTCCAGCGCCCAGTTCGCATCTCAGTCTTATTGGTGCAAGGTAACATACTATTTTCTTAATGAATTTAGAACTAGCTGTTCCTGCGACTTCGTCCGCATGGAATTTAACTTTATTTTTCTAAAATAAAAGTAGCCTAAGTTACTTCTTATTAATTCAACTACCTTCAAAATCGGTCCAGCCATTTCAGAGATTAGCCGGAACAAACAGACAGACAGAAAGACAAAAATTGTAAAAAATATTATTTTGGTGTATGTACCGTATTTATATTAATATGCATGTAGTAAAAAACGGTTATTTTAATATTACAAACAGACACTCCAATTATAAAATTGGAGTGTCTGTAATATTAAAAAATCTCCAATTATAAATAATTATATGTATAGATATATAGGTGATAAAGAAATTGACGACTCATCTAATGATAAATCGTTTATATACACAAACAGCACTGTCTATACCACGGCGATTTCGTTATATACTATGTAAATATGTTTATTTATACTAGACTGGGTCTCTTGCTGCCGAATCCCGCGCCGGACGTGGAACTGGAAGGTCCAGAGCCACATATCAGTATACATCCACCTCTGCCGAACTCTGGTAAGATTTATAACAAAAAAATATGTATATATGCCGTGTCTCTATAAAAACACATCTAAAATTATAGACAGATTAAACTATAACCCTTAATAATGTGAAAGTAATTTTGTTTGTTTGTTACACTTATATATCTGAAGAGCTAACCCCTAGTGTCGTTACTAGTATTAGTAGAGTTTGTGAAGGGGTAATTTCTATATGAAAGTTTATCGCATCATTTGGCTTCGAATTTTGCAGTATTTGGAATTTATAATACATATAAATTCCAAAGGCTGAACAGATCTTTATGAAATTTGACTGTTTAACCAGGACGGAAAGGGGTATCTAAAAATCAAAGTAAAGATAAGAGAGAGAGAGAGTGACGCGAGTCGCCAAATGTCGTGGGTTCGAATCTGGCCTGCATCAAAAAGCTTCGTGAATCTATATCTAATATTATATTTCTGATATACTCATCAGCGATGAAAACACTGCTACCAAAGCAAATTAACTTGAGAGACTACTGCAGCCTTCTATATATGTTGTATTGAATCAAATATACTCAGCACAGCTTATCAATGTCTACAATTAACAAATATCTGTCTACTCCATCTCAGACAAGATTCATGACAGAAAGTATATATAAGATTATCTTGTTATACAGCTCCAGAAGATGCGGGACCCTCGAGCGAGCCAAAGAAGAAGAAGTACGCGAAGGAAGCGTGGCCCGGCAGGAAACCTGGCCTAATTCCGGGTGTATGAACGTAACTCTTACATCACTAGTTGTAGCAATAAGTGTTAAGCAATTAGGTCAAAATTTCGGCCAATATTTGGCCAATATCTGTCTTGGTGCCTTCGCCACTCATAGCGTGGCCGTTATAATACAGATTAAGTGACGATAGCAAAATAGGAAATTAAGAAATACACTTCTCTAATTAGTGAACTTGTATGAATAGGTTTTGTCTAGGTCAGTTTGAGTGCGTAGCGGTTTCTATGTTAATTGTCGTATGCCTAATCCTTGTTAATGTGTATTTACAAGAAGAACATTTATTTAAAAGAGCAACACGCAAGTTTCTTGCTCTATCTTCTTGTGACGAGTCAGCTTTTCGAATGAGTGGTAGAATAATAAAAAGTGACTATTCAAAAATGCTTATATTAAGCTTATTTGGATAAAGATTATTTCTATTTCCTCTATTTCTATTTGTTTATGCAATTGGAATGGTAAACATACTAATGGCCCACCTGATGGTAAGTGGTAACAGTCACCTATATACATGAACAGCATCACAGACATCACGTTATTATGTGAGACCTGTGATACCACTAATTGTCATTCCTGAGGACAAAGGTATCAAACATCTTGTCTTGTAATTTCACTTCCTAATCTGACCCGATAACCAAAACATAGCTTAAGAAGCAAGCTGCTTGAAGGGTGAAATAGGTGAGACTTTCAATCGCTTCCAAACTCTCCAAATATTCCCACACAGAACTCTGCATTCGTAAAAGATTATTAACACGCAAGATTTGGTTAGATATCACTAAATAACTGTCACCTAACAGTTAGGGAGTGAAATATCGAGGTCCTAAAATATAAGACCCTTAAGGACTTAGTAGACACCTAAAGGTTGGTGAAAACGAATTTCATACTAGTGGACCCCTAAACTGACGTTAAGTGGCCCCTAAACTTAAGTAGACGTTGGTGAAAACAAGCATGATATACGCAGATGTCCCTATACAGTCTGTCCGGTAGAGGTAAAGTAGTTTTTGACGGTAGTTCTGACTCCCCTATATCTGTCACTAAACAGCTTACTTCGTGGTCTTTAGGGTTAGATATTACATTCGTCAGTATTGGCAACAAATGAGTGTTATAACGTTAGGTCAGATGAGGGGTACAACGTTACTGCCAGGTGACTGCTTACAAAGCGTCGCCTTTGTAAGCAGTTATAACCCTCATTTGTTATCACCAGGTATGCCATCAACTTGTTTGCTATTCCAATTAAATATTGATGAATGTAGTGTAAGTAAAAGTGTGTGTGAATTGGTCGTGTATTAGGAGTTTCAAAGTTTTGTTTTAGCCTACTACGATGGAAGGCTGGCGTAATTTTATATATAAAATTCTCGTGTCACAGTTTTCGTTCCCATACTCCTCCGAAACGGCATGACCGATTCTCGTGAAATTTTGTGAGCGTATTGAGCAGGTCTGAGAATCGGCCAACATCTATTTTTCATCCCGCTAAATGTTAGGGGTAGTCCACCCCTAAATTTTTATTTTTATTTTAAGGCAAAACAACGTTTGCCGGGACAGCTAGTGATATATATACATATATGTATTCTGTATAATAACGTCTGTGTTACGAGGAGTGTGAAGGCACTTGATCAGAGACCGTCTTTTATGACAAGCGCATTTCGCATCATGTTACATTTTGTATTTTTTTAATATCTTAAAGCGTTCATATCGAGGTATTGTATTTGGAAGTCTGTTACTAACGATAGTAGGAGAGTAGGGTGAGATAAGGCAGCGAAGCTTTAGGGTACGGTGTAGTATTCAAGTATGGTAACACAGGATTGTTTCCAGATACATAAAATATTTGTTTACAAATTATAGTTTTCACTATACTATTCATGATCTGAGTGGTCTGGCTGTGCATCACTATCTTATTTTGTAACTATTAGTCACGGGTGTATACATATTATGTATGTATTGACCAAAAATCTATTATTTAGTACCCACAGTAAAGAGTTGGTAATCTTCCTGTTTTCCCAGAACATGTCTTAGTTTTTGTAGTTTCCTGGGATGTCCTGAACAGTTTATAAGCAGTCCAGTTTTAAATAAAATAAAAATTCATATAATTTTATTAAAAAATATGTATTTTAATTACTTGCATTTCATTTCACCTATTCTCACTACATACTATATTAATTTAACTATTGTAACTCTATTACTGGGTACTGTTTTTAAACTTAATTGTCCTGGTTTCTAACGTCAAATCCTGGTTTTTTAGATTTTGGGTTGCTAACCCTATACGCAACCGCATAGTACAAGCTCTGAGTGCCAATAGATGGCGTCGTTTGATCTATCCAGGGGTATTTCTGTGTTTATTTGAAATAAAACAAAATAAGTGTCTATTGAAGTATTAAAATGTTGATTGATTCTTTACAAATTTTAACACAATTTAAATATTAATAATCTATAATCTATAATAATCTCAAGACAATTCACACAGCGCCATCTAGACCCAAGTTAAGCTAGCTAAAGCTTGTGTTATGAGTACTAGACAACTGATACAAATACATAGATTTTTTTTTCTTAAATATATACATATTATACATAGAAAACACTCAGACCGACACAAACAATTGTACTCATGAATACAAATGTTTGTGCCGTGCGAGATTTAAATATAAAATTACACAGGTGTAATAATAATTGCTATTGTTACAACAAAAGTCGATTTTATTGGAAAAATGTACGAAATTTATTTCGTTTTTTTATCAAGGACGGTCTCTATAAGTCTATCCGCACACATAAGTGCTGTGTATTACGATTACCTTAGTGATTGATATTTCAATAATGAGACCAGTTGATGTTTTTAATTATCCGCGGGGACCATCAATAGTATCTGTGGAAATTCTGTTAGGCCCTAACCGGTTCTTCAATTAAAATGGACAACCGTTTTTGTTCTGACCTATTTCGTTGCGAGTCGCTTAGGATCCATTATGAGTGGTTGTGACGGTAATTTATCCAGCGTGCGGGCACGCTGCGGAGTTCCTGACTATACTTTACACCAGTGTGTTACACACTGCATCTTAGCACCACTTTGGTGTTACAGCTGCCCCTTTATGAATCTTTTTTATGGATGACAATGTAATGGTGCACCCGCCTGCGCTAACGGTTTACGCTGGCGGGGCATCAGTGGAGGATGATCAGATGAACATGAGGTCAGGTCAGTTAGCCCATCGTAACATATTTACCAGAAATTTATCACGATGGTTTCCAGGGGGAACCGCGTGGAAGTCAACCTGACATGGTACATTGCTAGTAATGGGGTCATGAGTCCACATTATGAACAAGCCTCTTTATGATTTCTTGAAGGCAACATAGCAGTGTTTTAATTGATTATAATGGAATGGCCCACCCAGTGCAGTATGATAAGATCAACATGAGGTCAGGTCAGCTAGCCCATCGTGACTTCACCAGGAACTTATCATGATGGTTTCCAGGGGAAGGGAGTTGAGGTCAACATGACATGGTAGCAATGGACTTATTAGTTCACATTACTAACAATCTCATTCCGCCCCAAGATGGCAGTGTTTCTTTATTCTTTCATATTCACCATTTGTCAGCACGAAAAGAAGTTATCCATGCAGATGACGTCGTAAAAGATCTACCTCTGGCTATTTTTTTACGCATACGATATTTTGTACGTATGCAATGTATTTAAAATACAGTCCATTTTAGTTTAAAACCTATTAGGACTTAGCAATTGTTTAAGGTATTTTGTATATAACTATAGTATACACGAAGTATATTCGATAATGTTTTAAATATAGGTTAGGTATATAAATAAATTAATACATGCTGTATTGAATTTACGGAGGAAACGTGACTTGAAGACGCAGTTCATCTCCATCATATGTATAATAAATGGCTGAAGTTTTATTATTTCGTTCTATGGATATGGTAACCCAGAATTATTTTGTGTTGCCATACTGCTGATAATTATCTTGGGTTTTCAATCAATTTTTATTTTAATCCATAGGATTTATTTTGTGTTGCCACACTATCGATAATTATCATCGATTTTTAATTTTCTTTTAATTAACTGTTTTAGGTTTTTAATTATTTATATAGAACATTTTGAGATACGCATGACCGCGCAATAATATAATAATAGAGACAAATCAGTTGGCTAACAACTATGTAACTATAAAATTATATAAAGCCGGCGGACCTTTCTCATTTAGTATACAGAGTTACTCGTAAAAGCTATGGAGAATGATTATATTGTAATACTTTCCTTGGTGAAAGTATTATATGTGTTTGAAAGTACTAAATGATATTCTGAAAATGACATAACATGTTTATGGAAACTAAATTTGTATGAAGGTTAGAAGTGCAGTTGGCTTTCATCTCGTTGGCATTTACGAGTAATCATGTACGTTGTTTCATTATGTGACGCTGTTGCTGCTGACAATAGCTTTCTTTACACTACACGTTCTTTCACGCAATCGTAAGGGATTGCAATTAACTATTTTGTGTTCACTCTTTCGCAAGTGTTTGCTCATAGTCTAATCAAATGAATAGTCATTTATTCATGTAGGATATTATAGCGGCTAGTTAGAACTAGCTTTTAGTTAGTGTTTATTCGGATCTATCTTTGTGGCGAATCGCTTAGAATCCTGAATGAATATAATATTGAGTGGTTGTGACCGTCATGTATTCAGTTCTTTTTTATTAATATTTTTTACTTCCAGTTCAGTACACAGATTCAATTGAAATGAACTGGCAAGAAACTTTCAATGTTTTTTAAAACCAATTTATTTACATTCTGTACCTATATAGGTATCTATGTATAACATTAAATGAAAATTCCGTCTTCCGGTCATTTCACTTTTAAGATTTATTTTTTTATTCGAGTGTTTATTTTTCAAAGACACCTTTAAGATTTATAAATTATCTATTAACTCTATAATTATGTCTTATGTCATTTTGCAATGAAATTAATTATTATAGGTAAAAAGGCGTGAAATGCTCATTTACTGCAGAAAGTCGATTCGTGCGTGAAAGAGCGTCCGTGTAAAGGTAGCTAATAGCAATGGGAACTAGTGGCCCCATTGTAAGAAATGTAATATTGCCAGGTCAACCTTGAACGTGGAGATGAAACTATAGTGGTTAATACCTATTGGATTGGTCATTATGGACTATCTGACCTGACTTCATTCTCGTTCTTTTTATGTATAAAAATATTAAAACAGAAATTTATTTTACAAATTATGTTGTAATAAAAAATGTAACATTTCAGTTCTGCTGTTTTCCGATGCCGGGATGTATTGTTAATTTTAAATAAATTATTTAATGAGTAATTGTATATTTGTGTACAACTTTCCAAATGCATGTTATTGAGCTGTGAATAAGTCAAAATAAAGTATGAGGTTCAAATTGTTTTTTGTTTGTATTTGTCCTTTAAATCCTTAATATTGAATGGAAAGAAGCTACAGTTACTTATTCTTTCCTATAAAATTAGTCGCACTGGTAGCAGAGGTATTAAAATAACGAGGAAGCACCCAGGAGTTTATGTAACAGCTGGTAAATTTTTTCTAATAATTTCAATAAGTTGTAAACATTACTTACGTAATGCGTTGTAATTTCACTGTCTTATCTCTACCCTACGACCAAAATATGTTACACGGCAAGCTACTTGGTGTCTGTGATATAGGGGCACTCTTACGACAGATGACTATGCACAAAGTATAACTATATCGTGTTATCAGGCTGTTTGTTCCACTGCTCGTACATATTAGTTTTATTACGTTTTAGCCTATAGATTTGTGGTTGGTTAAGCTTACCTTCCCTACAAATATTCCCCCCCCATTCATTTTTAAGTTTGGGAGTGTTTTTTTTTATATCAAAAAAGTGTCATCAATAGACCCAAATTTGTGGGAAGTCTTAAAAAAAATACATTTTAAAATGCTTTAGTTTAACCTGACGGTCAA